CCGTATGTGTGGCAAAGGTCACGAACAGGCAACCAATTACCAGGCCGAAGTCGGCCAAGTCATAATAGCAGCGAGGAGGGACGACAGAGAATGCGGGTAGATTGATACAGCACTGTTTCGGGCTTATTCTGCCTTCATTCAGCGGGCACAACGGAACGAGCATGTTCCGTAACCTGATTGGTGAGCGCCCACTATCATAATATATATATATATATATATATATATTTCGAAAGAAATAAGCCCTTTGGGAAAGATTAACAAGGTTTATTGTAAATTTTCGATCTTGGTTCCCCAAGTCGTCTTCAGACGTGGAATATGTGTGCAAAACAGTCAACATTTAAACATGCCGAAAAATCGAATTTGCCTTGTCATTCCTGCTGGTGTCTTGTTCTGATTGGCTAATGCCTTTTCCACTTTTCCTTGAGGCTGTTGTACACCGTATCCAATTCTACGTGTCTACTGATGCATGCGTTATCAGAATGAATGGCCTCTAAAAATTCACGGCCCTTTTTAGATGAACAGACACCTACAATGCAGGTCCTGCCTTAGGCGAATTTGTGTCCAGTTTCCAACGTATGCATGGCAACTTGGGACAAGTAGTCTCGCCTTTTTACGCTCAACTGATGTTCGTCTATTCGTGTAGAGGCCGATTTCCCGGTTTGACCACAGTAAACCGCATTACAGGTGTTGCATGGTATCTTATAGACGACTTCCTTCTTATCTAAATAGCCAACCCTATCCTTAGGGTGTACAAGCTTATTTCTTTCGAATTATGATTCTTGGGATGCCTGTTTTCAAATTCATATATATATATATGTATATGAGAAGGTGATACCGACAAAGCCAAGGGAGACCGGAATGGCCATTTCTGGCTTATTAGTCGTCATCAGCCAGTCATACCCAACCCCAAGTGTGGATCACTTGAGATTCGAACCCGGGATCTTTGGTCATGGAGTTGAACGCTCTACCATTGAGCCACGGGCCCGTTGTCCTGTCGGTTGTGATCGGGAATATTAATTATGATAGTGGGTACTCACCGATCAGGTTACGGAACATATATATATATATATATATGGATATAGGCGAAAATGCCGACCCCAGGTGTTGAGATGGAAGAAGGTAAAGAGATCTCTGGGGAGGATGATTTATTCATCTGACGTTTCACACTCATACTCGAGCGCATCATCGGAGATAGATTAAAAGTGGGAATACAAGGTTTAAATAGGTCTTTCTTACTCACTACTGATAGGCCCATTGTTCTCTCTTCCCATTGGTCCTCCCTTCCTGCTCAAGTGGTGTCTGACGGCCTCATATGGCGCCGGTAGGTCGATTCTACGGTTGATCGAGTTGGCGTTGGATTGCCAGGCTTCGATTATCTCTCTCGCCATTTTGCTTTCAGCTCGGCCGATTACTACTGCCTTGTCGAAGCCGAATTGATGGTCATTTTCGAGGCTATGCATAGCAACATGTGATCGTACATCTTTTCGCTTTACAGCTAGGGAATGCTTATGCATGCGCGACCTTAATTGTTTGTCGGTCATGCCACAATAATTGGCCGGACAGTCTAGACAGTTGACGCGGTAAACAATTCCTGACGTGTCCTCAGGTGGTAGCCGCCCCTTGGGCTGCATGAGCAAGCGGCGGATAGTGACCTCAGGCCGGTGTCCAAGGCCCACGTTGCGTGGTCTGAGCATGCGTTCAGTGGCTTCGGAAACGTCACTCACGTAGGGCAAAGCACGGAAGAATTCAGATTTTGTTTTTGTTCACCGTCGGTCTTCGTGTGCCTTTGATACAGGCATTTGTTTATGAAGCTACGTGGGTACCCATTGGAGAGAAAGAGACGCCATAGGGATTTACGCTCTCGCAGCTTTTCAGCCTCTGTGCTGCAGTGTGTGTTGATGCGTCGGAAGAGTGTCCGCACGCAACTGCGCTTATGTGACAAGGGGTGGTTACTGCTGTAATGGAGGATTTTCGCCGTATCGGTCGCCTTTCGAAGGACACCAGTTTGGAGGGCTCCGTCTTCCTGTCTCGACACCTGGACATCAAGAAAGGGGATTTCTCCGTCTTTTTCTTCCTCCATAGTGAATTGAATTTGGGGGAAAATTGAGTTCAATTTGCTTCTGAACGTCTCTTTCATGTCTCGAGGTAGGATGACAAAGGTGTCATCCACATAGCGCATCCAGAATTTTGGCATGTAGGACTGAAAGACCCGTGTTTCCAGTTCTTGTAGAACCGCCTCAGCTAGGTAGCCGGAGTTTGGTGATCCCATCGGAGTTCCCTGGATTTGCTCGTACACCTGGCCATTAAACGTAAAGTACGTGCTCAAACAGTAGTCCAGTAGCTCCATTATGTGCTTCCTTTTCAGAGGTCTTTCCTCTTCATCGTACCTCCTCTCCAGTAGGTCACTTATGACCCTCGTGGCTAATTCTTTAGGGATGGAGGTGAAAAGAGAGACTACGTCGAAGGACACCATTATTTCATTGGGGGCTATTTCTACGCCTCGGAGTCTTTCCAGGAAGTGTGTTGGTGATACAGCTGAGTGTTCTGAGCCCTCCGTCAGCTTCTTCAGATGTTTGGTAAGCCATTTAGCCAGACCGTAGGTAGGTGTGCCCTTCAGTCCCACAATTGGCCGTAAGGGAACGTTTGGTTTGTGGATCTTTGGCAGACCATAGAAGCGTGCTATGGCAGCATCTTGTGGTTTCATCTGTCGCCAATCGGTCTCAGATATTGCCAGTTGGTTCCTCATTAGACTCAGACTCTTGTTGATTTTTGCCACCAGTGTTTTCATGGGGTCGGAGTCAATGACCTTGTATGACTGGTTATCGTTGAGTAGTTCCTGAGCTTTCGCTACGTACTCTGAATTGTCCAGGATCACGGTTGCCCGTCCTTTGTCTGCTGGAACAATCACAATGTCTTCGTCCCTCTTTAATTCTTTAATGGCATTTACTTTGGCTGAGGAGATGGTTCGGCGTGGCTTGTCGCTCGTGTTTGCGCACGCCATTGAGTGGGATTCAACAATTCGACATCTGGTCATGAGAGCTAAGACCTCCTGCCACGCAGTAAAGCAAAAAAGTCATTTGTCGGATCAAATGCAGATCTTGCCAGATGAACTATATAGGAGAGACCGGCGAACGACTGCAGACCCGTGTTGGCAAACACATGAGGGCAGTAAGGAGAATGGACCCGTTGTCTCTGGTGGCAGAACACTGTGCAAACTCTGGCCACACGTTCGCCTTCTAGAATGCCGAATCCCTGCGTCGAGGAAATGACCGCATAACCAGGAAACCAATCGAGGCCTGGCACACTGGCGCGAACTCCATCAGTCGCTGCGTAGTGCTCCCCGAAGCCTACCAGGCCCTCCGGACGCAGCTTAGTGGACAAAAACGCAAACGCGGACTACGACAAGACGGGAGGCCAAATACGGTCGACAAATGCAGGTGTTCTATAACCCGGATCGGACGAAGGTGCGATCGTCACTACGGCTGCGTCATCCACTAATCTGGCAGGTGAAAAAACGGATGGTCGCGGTAACGCAAGCAGACCCGACGAAAGTGCTATCGTCACTGCCACTTGTCCGGCAGGTGAGGACACAGACGGTCGCGGGGTCGCAAAGTAGACTGCCAGCCTAGGAAAAGAGTTAAGATCAATGTAAACACGTGCGGTGACAACTAGCATCCGAACGCCGGCACCCGACGAAAGGTAAACCCGTTGTAATAAGATCGTCACCACCTATAAATAGTGCGAGGCGTAGCACAACACTCACCTCCGACGATGAAGGCTTGTTTGCTTTCGAAACGTCAGGGCAATATAAACGTGATTCCCGAGATCGCCTCTTCTTATTGTTACGCCCGGGGAAGCGCATCGTCCCTTCTATCAGTATATATATATATATATAATGGTAGGGGGGCGCTCACCGATCGCTCTAACGGAAATCACTCGTTCCGTTGTGCCTTACGGGCTCTCCCTCGAGCCGAACCAGCAGCCGCACGGCGGCGCATGACATGGACAGTATGCTATTACCGACAAAGATGAGGGAGACTGGAATGACCACTTCTGGCTTATTAGCTGTCGTCAGCCAGTCATACCCAGCCCCGAAGTGTGGAACACCCGAGGCTCGAACTCGCACCTGTTAGTTATAAGTCCTCACCGCTAACTTTGAGTAATTCATTTTGGCCTTACTGTGAAAAACTCGGCGACATCGGCTGGATTCGCGTCCATGACAGGAAGGAGAAGGCTTAAGTACAGCCAACGCCCTAACCACATGAGCTATGAGACCTCACCGAGAGCCGCGAATTTAATTACTTTTGGGTCAAGTTACCCGCCCAGTCTATTGTAGCGTCTTTAATGCACCAAATGACTACCAGGTTTACTTAATTAATAGGTGTTTCGGCAGATTTTCAATAATTCGTTTTCACTCAAATGCAATTAAGCTGACGACTCCGGTGGGGCCTCGTAGCTCGGGTGGGTAGGGCGTTGGTTGTACCCAAGTCTTTCTTTCGCTGTCATAGGTTCGGATCCCACCGAGACCACCGAGTTTTCCACAGCTGGGTCAAAATGGAATATTGGCAAATCCTTTTTCATAGCCGTACTTGTTAGGGGTTGGAATTAGGGGTTAAGGTTATGGGTTGAGGGTTATGGGCTAGGGGTTAGGGTTAGGGATACTTGTTATGGGTTGGAGTTAGGGGTTAGGCTGATACTTGGCTACTGCAGGTACGACTACGTAATAAGATCCGACCGAAATATTTATATGCTATGTTCACGCCACGCACGATCTGCGACGGAGCAGCAAATATAGTGATAGCACGTGCCTCGTCTTTAGGACCTTTACAAGTGCTTTCAAGCGACTGAGGTCAAGGGCTTAGGACGTTTATACACAAATGCGATTCTGGCCCTAATAAATAGCTTCTTCATTTCTGAATGGTAATTTTGGTCAACTCGACCGTTATCCACAGCTATAAAAATGTACAAAGTGTCCGATACTGCGCAAATGCATTTGGCTAAATTAGTTTATGAGTACATACTTAACGGGATTCATTGCCTCTGTTGCACAAAACTCGGATTCGGGATTTTCAAAATCGATAGAATATACGGGCCAAAATATGTTTTCTACATTCGGCAGCATTATCCGCCCTATCCTGCCTGCTAGCGTCGGGACCATTTCACACCCCGAACCTGGAGCAATTACAGAAAAACTTAATGACTTATAATACATAGGTAGCTCGTTAAGGGAGCAACAGGCCAGACGCAGACAGCTGTTTCACGGTCGTTACCAACCATCAGTACGTCATAGGCCTTATGAAGTGAGGTATATAAGCACGTCAAGTGGGCGTTTGACCCTCACTGTTGTGGTTAGGATCTCATTTGATCCCATTCTGTCCGCCCGCCAGCTTGCTACTGGCGACAAGGAACGCTGTGTCATAGGACACATACCACATATAATACATAGGCAGCTCGCTAAGAGTGCAATAGGCCAGACGCAGACTGCTGTTTCACGGTCATTACCGATCATCAGTTCGTCATAGGCCTTATGAAGTGAGGTACATAAGCATGTCAAGTGAGCGTGACTTATTCTCGTCAATTAGCTCTTAAGGTCACTACTTGGGAGGCATTCGAAAATGATTATTCAGTCAGTGCACTTTGGCAGACTGTAGCACTGGAAGCCATGATACACGGCAACCAATGAACGCTATTAGTGTTGTTTAACTCCATTCGTCAGCTGGTTTCGGAACTAAAGTATCCCTCACGACAGCGATACACAGAACTCATAGACAAGTAGTACTGGGGCACGTGAAATTTCACTTGTTGTTCTAGGTCTCAAGTAGCTCCCTGCCTGCTCGTTTCCGATCCATGCCATTACATTTGTGCACTCCAAAGCAAGCTAATGGCCCGACTTTAGCTGGGGTGTGCGAATGACTGGGAGAGTGAGTCACCCTCCACTGCGCCTGCTCGTGCTCTACTAGTCACAAGCAAAACCTTTTACTACCCGACTTGTGTGTCTGTGTGCGAGAGTGCAACTGCGGAATGAAATTCGACGAAAAATACCAGATTATTCACCTGAGCGTAATTACTCATTGATCTGCCGGTCGTTTTAACAAAAATCTGGCCTCACATTGCTGCATTTAATCCCATGCAATGGTATTACTTCCGGACGGGCTGCTCGTCTAGAAATTTCTCCACTAAAGTGCAAAAAGGGTAGGCGACAGTGGTGAGACGGCCTGTGTAGATTCGGGTTATCAACGCGACAAGCAGATCGAATAATGATTTAACCTCGTGAGTGCGGGTAGATAACATTAGCGGTTGACAACGGCATCCAACCCTCCCTTCCCTTCTTCAAGTTTCTTAAGAAAATCCCGCTCATCACATTCTTGTTCGTGGCTTCTATAAGGGGTACGAGGTCATGCCCTGACACCTAGACGCTGATTTTGGCGCAGAGAGAAAATTTTGGAGCTTTTGTCAGTGTGAGCCTAACGTTACTATTTTATTAAAATTACTGTATTCCAAAGCATCAGAAGAGCTTTGTATTCCAGTTAACTGGAAACGTGCAGTGAATGTGGGATATTAATCCAACGTACTCTCCGGTATTTTCATTAAATAAGTCTTGCAGGTCAGAAATAACTACTAACCAATTCCGAAAACCCGGCAGGGACTCCCTAGCAGGGAGCTCGATAGAAATTCGGGAGGTGGTTTTTACCCTGTCCTAAGGTAAACGTTTTCTGGTTTCTTAGGTTTATTTATTCTTAGTTGTCCTAAACATCAGAATATCTCTGAGGCAGACTGGCTGCTGGCAATTGAAGAGTCGGGTGTCTTAGTCGCTGGCTCAGCGCGAAGCGAGAATCCGCTGTATATGTGATTTTATGACAACTCAACATCTAGGTGGGCACGTGGACCTCCACTCCTGTCATGAAATGCCAATAGAAATCATGAAATGTGTTTTCGGTTAGAAAGGATTGCTTAGATGGGGTTTTAGTATCGATCGTCGTGCAGCCACGCCAGGATGCCAGCTTTCGAAAGCGTTTCTTTTCAATCGCTTGCAAAACCCGGCCGCTTGTGAAGGCCACGCATCGTTAAAATACTACTCAAGTGGTATTTAGTGTTTTTTTGATTTTCGGTTTTATTATAAATTAAAATTTATTTTTTAGGAGGCATGCACAAAAACATCCACCCTTGCACCCATTTGACGAAAAAGCACGTTATCTTTAAATTTTGTCGTCGATGCAGTGGCGAATTTCGGTTGCAGAAAGGCTTGTAACCATAAGTCTTCTAAGACCATGAAGCGTCAGTTCAAATAGCAAGGATGCAATTTCAAAGATTAAGGTACACCAACTTCACTGTCCGCTGCAAACACGAACACTTGAGGCGATATCCATTCAGACGCAAGAATTCTGCCACCTAGGTTGATCTGTAGATTTTTTCACATTAGGTTTGCCGCGCCAGAATTTTTAAGAAGAACTAATGAACCCTGCACTTTTCCTACTGCACCGCGCAAACCGGGACTCATTTCTGAGATAAACCCCAGATAATATAACACTAAAATGCAGATATAGCACAAACGGCATCCCATTATCAGGGTTGGGCTTCAGAACACGTTACACAATTATTCGATCGATACCTTCTCAGGCGCTGGGTATGCTTACGACAAACTAACTTTTGAATAACTAATTCTCAGGCAAATCTTTCAGGTACCTTAGTACATGGAAATCCAAGACACCTACTATAGTCGTTTCCTATAAAAGCAGGAGCACCGTACTATTAGGCAGCCAAATTCCAACCTCAGCAAGTAGTTGAGATGTCACGGTGCCGTTACTTTGGCCTAAGACTGGCACGAATTCCAAACGTTTATTTAAAAGTGGGTCCTTAGATTCCGATATTTTCCATTGGGCAGGCAGTACACAAGATTCAAGATGCTAATTTCGAACGACCACCGCGGCCTAAGGTGTCGTTATAAGACATAACAACTGTCTTAGCCCTTATTTTAAAAGACATCCTCCGAAAAAGCTGGAC